CCCTGGTACCGGGAATTGAACTCACAACCTCGTGCTTGCCAGGCAGGCACTGTACTGCTGAGCTAAATCCCCAGCCCATGTTCAAATTTTAATGCCCCCTCTTCTCCTGTGTTTTTTCTCTTTCCATTCTCTGTCATGCTCCCTTTCTCACTAGATCACACAGTCACCTGGCCAGGTTCTGAAGCAGTTTACCTGTGAGTCATATCCTACTTTTTCATCTCTGTGATAGCCCAATAAAAATCACTGACCACTGACTCCATCAATTCATCTTCTAGTAAATGATGAATTAATGTTTGCTGACTCCATAGTTAACATACTGTGACAGAATATTTCCAATGCATTGTGTTTCCTTTCACTGCATAGTGCAAAATTAGGTAAATATAAAAACCAAATAAATAATTTTAATGAAATCTGACTCCTGAGTACTAGATACAGAAGTTCCTTTTTACCTCAATACTTAATTTAGATGATTTCAAATTAATTAGAATTGTATTTTACAGGAAACAGTAACATTTAAAGATGTGGCTGTGGACCTCACCCAGGAAGAATGGCAACAAATGAAACCTGCTGAAAGGAACTTGTACCGTGATGTGATGCTGGAGAACTACAGCAACCTAGTCACAGTAGGTAAGGGTAGCTTTGCAGTTAAAGCACAATTTCTCTCCATTTCTGAAATGTGTGGACACTTTGCTTTGGCAGGTGAATTAGCCTTCCCTTTTTTCACATAATTGTATGTGCTTCGGTCTTGTTTTGTTTTTTTTGGTTTTTCTCCGGTACCGGGAACCGAACTCACGACCTTGCGCTTGCCAGGCAGGCGCTTTTGCCGCTGAGCTAAATCCCCAGTCCGTGCTTCGGTCTTCATGGTAGAGACTAACTACTTTCTATCAGAGTGGTTGTCCTTACCCTCATTTTCCCTAAGCCTTCAAGCCCCTGGGATTCAGCCCAAGGTCTGTATGACTGTCCAGCATTAACATCCAAGTTCTCTGTTCATTCCCATAACAGGCTGTCAGGTTACCAAACCAGATGTGATCTTCAAGTTGGAACAAGAAGAGGAGCCATGGGTGATGGAGGAAGAAATGTTTTGGAGGCACTCTCCAGGTGAATAAGTAAAAAGCCACCTCTGAATGAGCTGGCTGCATCACAGTTTTCAGTGAAGGGTTCACATTTTCCAAGATTTTCTAAAAGGCCGTCTACATCTAGAGTCACAAATGATATGAATGCCTTGCATTACTGTGACATTTTGATATTATTATTCTTGTACTGGAGCTCTTTTCCCTTTTTTAAAACGTGGAAGTCCAGTGCCCCAGTGTGATTTCAGGATGCCAGCCTTCCCTAATTTATTTACAACTTACCTTTGGGATTTTTGTCTCTGTTCTTTGGACTCTCCTTTGTGCTGTTTTATTTTATTATGCATTTGATATTTGAAGGATATATAGTATTTTTAAGATATGTTTATTTCACACTTAGATTCTTTTTTCCATGTTTATATTTTGAAAAGCTTCAGATTTGTGTAGTGTTTGTATTTTTTGTTTTTTTGAGAGAGGATCTCACTATGTAGTTCTGGCTGAGCTTGAACTTGCAGCACTTCTCCTGCCTCAACCTCCCGAGGGCTGGGGTTACAGGCGTGTGTCACCATGCCGGCAGAATTGTGTTTTGTAATGGCGGTCATACTTCCTGTTGTACTTCATAACTCTCATCATCTCATGGCTCACAAATCTAAATTTTTAGCTTAGAAATCTCACATCACCTTCTTTCTTATGCCCACCTTCCATTTCTTTAGTTTTTTGATAACGTACTATTTGAATATTTGTTTAAAAATATAAATAATCCAAAAGATGCCTTGAAAAGTGGGACTTCTACTTATTCTTGACACTTAGTCCCTTTCATTCTTCATTACACTTTTTTTTTTTAAATGTTTTCCTAGCTATTCTTGATTGATTGTGCTCAGCGGCAAAGCGTCTGCCTGGCAAGCTCAAGGTTGTGAGTTCGATTCCTGGTACCGGAAGAAAACACACACACACAAAAATTGAAAACGAAACTGTAAAACCATTTTTATTTCTAGATTATGATATCATATATGCTTCTTTTTTGGAGAATTGTTTTCACACTTACTGTCTGAAACAAGGAACAGTAGCCATTGTCTGTTGAGTTTTTTCCCCTACCTTCACCAATCCATTCTCTGTTCTTCCCTTGTATTCTGGAGTTGGAATTTAGAAGCCTAAATTTCACTGAAGTATTTTCTGCTTGTTTGCAGAGTGGAAAAGAAATAGATGTTTAATTCCACCATATTGAAATAGGAAGTTTCCTGTTCTCTATTTGATGCTGTGAATCTTGGAAATGTCTTTCTTTGCTCCTCTCCCAAAGCTTTTGATTTTTCCTTGGTTATTGTTCACTTATTTTTCCTCCTTTAGGAAATGTCTTTCATATGACTCAGGTCTCACTACACATCTCTTGAGAATAGTTATTTTTTCTTTTTTTCTTTTTTTTTTTTTTGTTTTTTTTCCGGTACCGGGAATCAAACTCACAAACTTGCGCTCGCCAGGCAGGCGCTGTGCTGCTGAGCTAAATCCCCAGCCCTCTTGAGAATAGTTCTATGAAAATTTTTTTGCTAGTAGTATGCAGAGCAGACAAAAGATTCACTTGTCAGGGTATTAATCTGGGTAAAAGTAATGAGACGTGGGGGTTTGTTTCTCTGAAACTAATAGAGCTGTCAGCTGTTTCTCTGCCTCTCTCCCTCTCTGCCTTTCTTCCCCCTTCACTCTCCTTCCTCCCTCCCTGTTTCATCCTCTCCACCTTTCTCTTTCCCTCTCTCTACCTCTCTGTCTTCCCCCCACCCCCTTACTCATTCCCTCTCTCCTTGTATTTTCCCCTTTCTCTTTCTCTCCTTCCTGCCCTCTCTCCTTCAGTACTGGGAAGTGAACCCGGTGTCTGCTTTTGCTCTAAGCTCTACCCCTAGTTTTTTATTTTGAGATAGCTTGAATTTCCCCCTCAAATAGCTGGGATTATAGATGTGTGCTACCACACCAAGTTGCAATTTCTCTTTTGCATTTTTTTTTAATATGCTTTTTAAACTTTTCTCAAAATACATATACTTGGTTTAGAAAGCCAATAGAAATACACGGGGCCGGGGATGTAGCTCAGTGGCATAAGTGCCTGCCTGGCAAATGCAAGGTCTTGAGTTTGATTCCTGGTACCAAAAAAAAAAAACCCCCAAAAAACAAGGGTTATAGCATGGCAGTGTTCTAACCTCATATTTCACTTCTTCTAGGCAACTGTTTACAACTTATTTAAGTATTTCTTTTGTTATATATTTCCATATTTGCAAATAACTATTACTATATAAAAATTTTATTATAATCATTTTCAAACATAAACACAGAGAAAATAGTATAAGGAACCCTCATGTATTTGTCACTTAGCTTAAATCGTTATCACAGTTAGAACATTTTGCCAGATGTGTGAACTCCCCTACTTCTTTTTTTTTTTTTTTTTTTTTTTTCTGAATTGTTTCACGTTATAGTATTCCTTTAAATACTGTCATATGCCATGCCAGTAGATAAGGGTTTTGTTTGTTTGGTTTTTGATGATACTAGGGTTTTGAACCCAGGTCCTTCATATTCAGCTCTATCTCCATTCATTTTTGAAGTTTTTTTACTTTTAAGGATCTCTCTGTGAGTTACCCAGGCTGAACTGGAACTTGCAGTCCTCCTGCTTCAGCCTCCTGGAATGCTGTACGTACAGCCTGTGCTCCACCATGCCCAGCCAAATGTTTTTTTAAAAATTATCACACCAAAAATTATTATCATACCTAATGATGTCAGTAATTTCTATTATCATCGGATAGTCTCTGTACATATTTCTTTCATTGTCACAAAAATGTCTTTTTATAATTAGTCTAAAGTCCACATATTGCATTTGGTTGTTACATACCTTAAATTTGTTTTAATGGACAAGGGTTTCTTCCCTTCTCATTAGCTCATTTCCCACTACCCTTTTATTTGTGCAGAAACAAAGTTATTTATACTGTTTTTATAATTTTTGTATTTTGGTACTGGGAATCGAACTCAGGACTTTGCTCTTGCCAGGCAGGCACTGTGCCACTGAACTATATCCCTGGTCCTATTTATACTCTTCTTAAAAAGTGTCAGCAGTTTTAGAGATCTAAATAGCAGGTAGTAATTCCCCCCGCACCTGCAATTTTACTGTCTGTAATTTGTTACGTGTGTTCAGTTATAGTCTGAAAATATTAAATGGAAAACTCCAGAAATAATTTATGTAGAAGGTTTGAGCTATGCACCATTCTAAGTATTATGGTGACATCTTGCATTGTCTCTTCTTGTATGTGAATCATTCCTTTTCCAATGTATCCATGCTCTATATACATCCATATGCTCTACATACACTCATGTAATAAGTTTTCTTGGTTGTCAGTGCTTGTGTTTAAGTAGTTAAGCCTTATTTTTAGTAATAATGGTGCTGAAGTGTGCTACACTTGTGATGCTGGAAATTTAGATATGCCAAAGAAAAGCCAAAGTTTAAGTGAAAAGATGAAAGTACAAGAAGTTTTGGGTTTTTAATTTTGTTTGTTTTGTTTTGTTTTGTTTTGTTAGCAGTATTGGAGATTGAGCCCAGGGCCTCACATTTGATTGGCAAGCACTCTACCACTGAACTACATCCCCAACCCTTTTTTTTTTGAGATTGGGTCTTGCCCAATCTCAAAGGTACCCAATTTGGCCTCCAACTTACGATTTTTCTGCCTTAGCCTCCTGTGTAACAGGCATATTACAGGCATGCAGTACTGCTTCTGGCTACAATTAGATATTTTGAGAGAGCCTGCATTTGTATGTTTTATTATAGTATATTGTTAGAATTGTTCTATTAGTTATTACTTGTCTCATTGTATTGATTTATAAGTTGAAGTTTATCATAGATACGTATAAGAAACAACAGTGTGTATAGGGTTTAGTATTTGTAGTTTCAGATATTCCCTGGGATCTTGGACTGCGTACCCTCCATGGGGTACTTTACAGGCTTTGTGGGCCACATACAGTCTCTGTTACATGTTTTTCTCTCTCATTGCTCCCCCTTTCTTTGAACAACACTTTAAAAAATGCAAAAATCAATCATTGCTCACAGGTTTTATAAAAACAGGATATGGTGATAGTTTGCCAATTCCTGTTCTAGAATGTTTTTTATTCTGCAATTAGCAATTTGCCTCCTCCTGGTAGTGTACTCAGGTGCTTTGAAACTCGTTGAATTTGGTACTTGATGCATTTTGATGTGAAAATTTTGTCATGGTACTTGTCATTTGCACAAGCCAGAATTCATTGGTGTCCGTAGCCTCATGACTCACTCCCTCTTCTAGCCCAAGCAATTTGTCATTCATCATTTTTGGTACTCACTGTTTTTGATCCTCATCGAGTCTTTTGAAACCAATTTACAGCAGATGCTGAGGTACTACTACATATACTCTTTTTTCCTATTTTTCATATAATTGGGCTTTATTAGATTCAATTTCAATTCTTTGTCAAGAGTACTGTATAGGTAGTGGTATGTACATATTTTTGCATCTTGTGTTTGTCTCACTTTTAGAAATACTAAGATTCAAAAAAAGAATAGAAATAGATATGTAATAGAAATAGATACAGATATTCATCAGTAAATTCTTTTTTGGCGTTCAGACTCGGTCTGTTTGATGATCCACGTTAATCTTTCACTTCAGGGATTTGGGAGTTGTTGATCATTATCGCCTAGATCCATTATTTTATTAGAGGTTTCATCTGCTTATATTGGCTGAGAGGTATCCCATAAAGAAAAATTCTCATCAAATATTTTGCTTACCTGATTACCATTTTTACAGGTCAGAAAAAAAAAATAGGAGATACTTTCCCTTTAAAATCTTTTCAAATAGGGATTTGTATCCTAGAAATCTCCAAAGTTTGTCAAGTTAATGTCCTTTGTCAGTGTAAATTTATATTTAGGTAATTTTAGCATCAGAATAAAGATGTGAGGATGTGAGGGCAATCTGGCTATAACACCTGTCACCCTATTGCTCACCACGGTTGATTCAGCTGATCTCTGGCTGGCCAGGAAGGTAT